TTACAACGTTATTGCAGAATAATAATGACACGACAGAGAGATCTAAATACATCATCTAACGTCACAAGTAGTCGCATTCACTTAAATTTACAAAAAAAAAAAATATAAAAATACTATAATAGATATAAATATGTTTCAATTTGATTGGTGGCTGGTTTTTTTACTGCGGATCGTTTATTATAATTGGCCATTTTGGCTTAACAAATCATTGCATGAGATCTGATCTTACAGTATAATTTTTTCACATTGACACATTGACGTGTACTTCATTATGGAGGAAGCCTCAACAACCAGTAATTCGAATGTTTCGAACGCTCCTCGTATTGTAGTCGGCCTTAGTCGCTGCCAGGAAGAACCCAATGTAACTTTGGTTACTGCTGAAGCACGTGAATTAGGCTATGACTTTATCTTTATTCCTATTACTTATCCCGGTTATAGACGCTTCTTATTTGAGCAACTAGTAGATAGTGTTGATATCAACGAAATGAAAATTGTGGAAGAATGGAGGAAAGGTTATCCATTTAGCAGAGAAGATTTGGTGGTGAAAAATGCAGGTAAATCGATTCTAACTCTGAAAGAGGCCAATAATTATTCACTAAACCTAACTTATTCATTTTTTCTCTTTATTTTCACTTTCTTAGATGTATCTGATTTTGTGGTAGGCAAAGTTTCGGATTGGATTAATTTAGATTCTCCGGAACATAGTATAAGAATAAATTCAGAACTGGTAAGTTATATTTTAATATTGACGAACTTTTCTTTTTGTTCGAACCGTTCTGATTCATTTTTTTACGTTAAAGATTCTGCGACAACAATTAACCTGGATCGGACATATAGGCATTTCTGCTGCGTTGATACCATTTCCTTCTGATTCCTTAATGAATTATGCAAGATGCGTTAATTCTATTTTTGGAACAGTATCCTACATCAATGTCTGTTTTTGGATCGTCTATTTATTCCATGTACTTTTCTCTATTTTTAAATAAATTTTAAACATAAAACTTTAATATCTTTTTATATAGATATGGATTAAAATTCCTTTGATCCTTGAAGATGAGATATTAAAGTCGAAAGAAACTTTAACATGGGAACGATGGAACAAATTTAGAACTCTATGTGAAAACCACGTCAGGTTATCTATAGGTAAGCTCTGTGAATGTCGTTGTGATTATAAATGCGTATATTTCTATTTGAATTTTTACTTATCGTGTAACCTACAGCTTTAGAAGTAACTAGGGACCTTCCGGAAGATAATATACTTGATCGATGGTTTGCTGAACCAATAAAAGCTGTCATATTACCCACGAAAATTTTTTTGACCAATGCTAAAGGGTTTCCAGTTTTAAGTAGAAGACATCAAGTCTTCGTTCGTAGATTTATTAAAGTATGTTACATTCAGTTATAAACGAATAAACATTATATTAAGACTAACTATAGCTCATTAATGTAGTACAAGCCTAATTTTGTCATTGACTGCGTGACGGATGGTCCAGTTCATGGAAGTGGCGGGCTTGCAGCATATCAGGAATATGTACATTATTTAAATCGCACTATGCCTGAGTTGACACAGGTTGAACAATTTGCGTTAGGATATAATGATTTTTTGCAATCTCCTTTACAGGTAAATTTTTTTTGATTGCGCACAATACATAACCTTGTTTAATGATACTGATTTCTTAATTTGAATTGTGACAGCCTCTGATGGATAATTTAGAGTCATCTACCTATGAGGTTTTCGAAAGAGATTCCATGAAATATTCATTATACGAGAAGGTATGAAACGTAAGAATCAGATTTTATTAATCTTGGCAACCTATCCGGATCAATTGAAGTATTTGATCTCGATTTGAATCATTTATTATGTTAGATAATCCTTTACATTTATTAATAATTTTGACATATTGTTATAGGCAATACATAATGCCCTTTTAGATCGCACTACTGGATCAAAAGAAATAATGTAATGCAAATTATATTCACTTAAGTCTTATGAAGTGAAGAAATCATTAATTTATAATAGATTCCTAACTATTATTATAATATGATGATTTTTATTTAGAGTTATTATGGTGGTTGGTGCAGGCCGTGGGCCTTTGGTCACACGTAGCTTAAAGGCGGCCGAAAAAGCACAAATACGTGTTAGAGTATATGCCATTGAAAAAAATCCTAGTGCTTTTGTCATGTACGTCAGTTATAAATATCATTACCCATTTGATTATACAAGAAGGATCATTTTTTAATATTATGCTTAATCTTTATAAACTATAGTTTACAGAATAAGAAAGCAGAAGTATGGGGAGATAAAGTAACAATCGTGTTTTCTGATATGCGATTCTGGAAAGCACCAGAAAAGGCTAGTATATAATTTTCTTTATATTATTTCGTAAAACAAACATGCTAACTATTTTCGAATTTTCAATTACATGTGTAGGCAGATATCCTAGTTAGCGAAC